TATGTCTACCAATTAAATGTAAATATTTCACTGTCACTGTAACAGGTGATGCTGACATGCAAGATTTTGAATCCACATCGAACAATCCACACCCCACAGCTTGAATCCCTCAATCCATACCCCACAGCTTGAATCCCTCAATCCATACCCCAAAGCTTGAACCCCTCAATCCACAACCGACAGCTTGAATCCCTCAATCCACACCCCACAGCTTGAATCCCTCAATCCACACCACACAGAATTGAATCCCTTAATCTACACCCAACAGCTTGAATCCCTCAATCCACACCCCACAGATTGAATCCCTCAATCCACACCCCACAGCTTGAATCCCTCAATCCACACCCCACAGACTGAATCCCTCAATCCACACCCCACAGATTGAATCCCTCAATCCACACCCAACAACATGCACCCCAAGGCACATCCCAGAGTTTGCACCCAATAATCCACAACTCACAACCTATGACTCTTCACAGGACATCTGATCAATATTTTTTCAAAAACAAAGCGGTGTCACATGAACAAACTGCCAACAAGAAGAGACGTACAGAAATCTGCACAAGCCCGCTGGTTACATACACTTAGTGGGAATAGACTTGGTTGACACATCTTCGCATCCCAACTGCATTACTAAGATCGATGCTCATGGTGTTGATCACTGTATTGTCTGGTCCAGACTGGATTATTTTCAGCCCACTGCCATATAGCAGGAACATTGCTGAGTGTGATGTTAAACAACTGACAAACAGACAAAACTTCAAGGGTTTGTGCCAGGTTTATTATATAGGCCAGATATAATTCTGTAAGTGTTGATATGTAAAACAGCAGTGATCACTGACGTCAAACATTGATAACAAACACTTCCTGGCCCCGAGGTAACAAAGTGAGTTCAAGATTATGTACATTAAAACGGAACTTTGATCACCATGAAAAGCTTTGAACAATACACCGGGAAGAAATTCATATAATAAAGTGATCATGACAAAAAAGCAGTCACATCTGAAATTCAATGACACTTAACGAGGTCATGACCTCAAGTACAAACAGTTTGTGCACTGGTTGATACAGCACTCAGCTATATGTCCTCTATATGAAGGTGAAGAGGAACACTTTAAATGGATAAACAACTTGTTTATTGCAACAGATGCGATGTTTCGGTGTAGATCCTAATACTGTTATCAAGCAAATGATAACCTGTCTACGCCTTGAGCATGCTGCTAGCACGGAAATGAGCGCATCATAAATGTGCACCATTATTATTATTATTATTACCCATAAAATGTGTTGGACTTCATCATACCAGCTTCTAAATACCACTTAAAGAAGTTACATGAAGGTGACCTACAAGTGATTAGATCTTGACCAGACAATCCAGTGATTGACATTATGACAAACCGTCCATTAGGTAGTAATGACATGCATCAGGCAAATCTGCCAGTCGGAACATCCAATCCCGATAGACGGCTTTTATTATCTTCATGTAATATCATCATCATGGGAGGTAGCATGTTGGCGGAAAAGTTTGATACATGAGACTTTAGGAAGGCTAAGCTTTCAAATATTCCCATGTTGGATATAATCCTCTAATCTTCAGGTTCGTTATCATATTTCCTCGTGAGGGAAAATATACATTAGGATTACCAGACTCTGATGAGTACATGAAGTATGTCTTTATCTTATTGAACACACAGAAACTCATTAGAAAAACGAAGAAAAAATTAAGAACATATTTTAGTTGCAATTGAAAATTTAATAAGTAAAGAGATTTAAGTGTTTTATGTGAAAGGCTGGGTTTGCATCTTTTGTACTGCATTGCACAGATACTGTGAATGCTTGAATATTTACACTGAAGTCATTATACGACTTTTATGTCGAGTTTCAAACTATAAGCATGCTTCATACGTCCATGATTATCACGATACGCATGCATATATACATTGTATATTCTACAAAGGTTGTCCTGGAACCACATTCCGTCATTGTAGTATGTAATTTTGATATGTTGAACTGCGTCACAGCGAAACCTACACCTTGGGAAAAGGAAACACTGTGTTTATCACACACCATGATTTTATAGATTAACTGGAGCACCTATTTCCAGTGTCAACAATGCTGTACCTGTCCAATTATTGGAATAATCCAGTGTTGACTATAGGAGTTGATAAGCACTTCACCTACGATAGGATGACTTGGGTTTGAACATCTTGTTGGTTAATGTAGACGTTGTCCCAATGAATTTCAGAGTTTTACATGACGCGTGATTCCTGCGTATTTGACGCAACAATTTTGTAAACGACCCTCACAACTCAGTTCAATAAAATCGATTTGATAAGCAAAAAATGATATTGTCAGATTGTTCCAGAGGACTCAGAGGAGAGAGTAATCCTGGCTGTTTGCATTGAACAATGCTGTAGTTTCATTTGGTGGTGTGACAACACAAAGAAATATTAAACTTTTCATGACTCCCAAATATCGAAAATGACTCCCAAAAATAAACATTGTGAGTCACCATGCCTCCCATTTTTAAAAGTATGTGTAAAACCCTGATGTTTAGAGTTTCTGTAGAGACAGACTTCCCAAACATTCCAGAAATATAGTTAATGAAAAATATATATCTACAAAATATGAAATACAATCAGAAAGGAGTACAGAACAATGCATGATTCAGACGGGAGATCAAAAGTTGCAAAATCATTCTCGACAGGACGCCCTAGCACACAACAATCTTATCTTTACAGCTAACTTAAATCTATGTTGACAATATCAGAGTTTCAGTGATCGTCCACATGTTTTTTACATGAATGACTGTCCAATCAGGGCTTCAGATTTTTGAAACACTGAATACTACTCTTGACTAACGATTTATCATTTTCACCAGTTATTGCTTGATTTTTTATTACTTCCTTGAGTCCTCTACTGGGTTTTTTTCACCAATAATCTGACAATCACTTAAATAATAATATCTAAAAATCCTGTTTCAGATTACTTCTAATTTAAATTTAATCTTAATTCTAAATTTCAATCAGAAAACCAAGAAAAAAATAATTTGAAAATGATACTGGTTAATTACACATTGTTGTAAAACTGACAGGTTTCTAAACAATTTCATGTGTATTTGTACACAAACAACACCTATTGGTTATTGTTGATCCGTGCTTATTTTATAGAAATACACAGCTTATCTGCCCAAATCAGCCATTTTAATTTCCTTATCTGTTATAACTTCAACATGTTAGGTAAACCAACCAGTTCTATTATAGCATATGTTACGCAAGGGAGTATGGACGAGAAACATGTAATGGTTAAATTGGACACCAAAGCAATATTTATTGAATTTATCGTTATGAAACATCCCAGGGACAAAACACCCACTTTGTATACTGAATGACCTAATGTTACCAACGATCATATCATACATAGCTGATTTCCTGAACAAACAAACGCAACGTATTGTGTTGAACATGTACGCAAAAACAAACTTAACCGAATTGTTTGAAACTGAAATATTTCGTTCAGTTCACTTGGCACATATAAACCTGTTGTCACAACACACAATCTGTGTCGGGAGATACTTAAGTTGTCCGTTGTCACCGTCTTGATATATTCAAAGTGATGATGAAAGCAATATCACTTCATAATAATCACCACCACCATCATCATCATCATCAACAGCATCATCCTCAATAATTCCATCAGTGGTATACATGGGACATTTTTTCAGAAATCCTCTATTGATCCTTTAACAATAATGAAGTCTTGTTAATAAATAATTTAGTTCACTCGACCAGGAAATATAAAATATATACATCTCTTGCATAATTACAAACAGTTTCCAGCACGGCAGGCAGCCACAAACAGATTCATATAAAGAGTCATTCAGTAATTACAAAATTGGAAGGATATATAACGACCAATGAGTTTCTTGAATGCTATGACTTGTGTTGACACTATTCTCTTGAGGCTAAATACCAACTTGAATATTGATGTTTGTGATTCACTGACTTTGTGGCATGTCGAGTAGTCAGTACAGATGTGACTCAGAGAATTCATTTATTCATGACCAGTCATGCATGGCAAGTCTTAACGGACCCTCTGATAACAACCATTCACTTTTATGCGTTATGTACAGGTATGCTATTATTCACCTAACCTGTCTGGATTTTGAATGTAAAATAGAAATGCATAATATGAATTTTAAATAAGCTAATAGTTCAACCGATAGTGTAAGAGATACTTCTCAACACTTGGTAAGGATATCATCATATTCCCACGATAATTGAAGCTCATTCTCATAATAAGTAATGGTGGTGTATAATGTGGATTTCAATAAAATGACATATCTGATAATCCCTTTATGTTGTGTGGTATGTTTCAAGAGATTAAATCATGAAATGTGACAGATTATGAACATAAAATAACAGTATGAAATCAACAATGAAAAGTTTTCAGATTTCAGGATACACTTTTCTCCATTGGAAAACATACAAATAATTATGCCATCTTACTTGATCATACAGGGAATATAATCAAGTATTGCCCATTAATTTTTAATTATACTACATACAATATTGAACTTATAGTAGTTTTATAACACATTAATTAGCAAAACGAAACATTACAATTGTTTAATATATATACAACTCATTCTTTCCTTTAATCATAAAGGAACATAATTATAAGTAACGGTTACCTAACAATGACTTACACTTCTGTCTATCTATGTGTCTGTCAGAGTACAATTCGAGTCATGTGAATATTTTGTGTATCGTGTTAATATATAGAAATATAATGTTCAGCTGATCAAGTCATTCACAAAGATTTCATCTAACCTAACACAGATACTGAGTGTGTTAAGCGGTCCTCTTGACGTATATGTATACTTGTGGCGAGACGGAGGGAAAAAAGCACCCAAGAATAAGAAAACATACGGACTGGCGTCTGTTGTGTCGATCAGTGGGAACGCAGATAGACAGAGCGAAGAAGGGACGAATACTTACTCAGCCATTGTACATCGGTTATTTTCTTCGGTTGAACAATCTGTAGGAATCCTTTCACCATATCATATAAAACATTCATGCTCTTTTCCAGAATCATTTCATCTCCCGAATTCCCATCCGAAGTTGAGGGTTGTGTTCCGTTGAGAGATTGGGTCGTCTGTGTGTTGACGGTAGAAAACGCTAATATAGAAAGTATTGCACATGAACACAAAACAGTCCTGAAAGCGGCCATTGTTGATGGACGGTGAAATACTAAACTTTGATAACTTGTAAAGCAACAGCCAGGCTAGTAAGAACGGTAATATCCGTGTTGCTTTGCTACGAACCGCGAGAGATATGCTTCATGTACCCATCCTTCTGCACCTTTCAAAAGTGTCTTGCTGCCCATGTGTGACGTCACTAAGCCCCGCCCATCAATAGACTAGACGCGCATGTGACGTTTGCTATTTATATCCGGGTCAGCACGAGCGTATTTCATTCAAGACAGGTAACTCACCTGGTACGACGCGTATAAGCCAGCGCAAAGATATAGGAGGATTTACCTGTTTGTTTAGCTCTCTTTGATGTCACGATTCGACTTGACGATGGATTTGTTTCGACGAAAGGAACTGCTATTGTTTCATTAATTTAGACAGACGCATTTCCGATATCGTAAATTACTTTTTTAGAAGGACCACAGTGCCATTGTAACGAAGCGATGTTAATTCTCTCCATAAGTGATATGTGGTTGTAGCGGAAGTGCAAGTATATGCACTTTTATCTCTTTAACAGTGCAAAATAAACCAAGAAGTTGTTATCCATAAGATTTGTCTTGTATCTGTAACAGTGCTAATTTATAAACAAATATTTATCATCATGCTATATAATATTGGGGAACAGTCCCATTAATGCCCAATTTTTTTAATGTGTTTTTATTAATATCGTTTCAACTCAAGTAATGCAGGCGTTTGCAAAGTTAACATTCATCATGCCCAATATTTATGTATAATTTACACTGTATACATATTGTGTTTAAGCATAGTGTATGGTTACAAACTGAAACCAAGTTCCCACTAAATTCATTACTCTCATGCCTGACCAAATCTATGCAACTGTTTGTGAAAATATTACGTGTTGTGTTGTTGTGGGAGTAAAAATTACTTAGTGAACATGCTCCGTGGGTAGATTAGTTCCCTAGCGTGAATCACATAACCAGAGCGTAAATGTTGTGTAGTTAGTCTGTCATACCAGAGACCATATATTATCTATTATATGGTCTCTGGTCATACCGACCCGAAAACAAATAGACTATAGTCCAGCCCGCGCAGCTCCATATTGGTCAATTCTTAGACTTCTGAAAATGAAGAAAGTCTCTGGGCTCCTTTTCTTATATTTTATGAAGATAGCTCAGGAACTTGTTTTTCAGTAAATATATTCATTTCAGAGACTAGATGTTGATCGGGAGGTCATTATGAGCGGCCTGCTTGATCGAATGTCACCGTGACCGGAGGCGTAGATCGATGTTCATTTATCACCCACTGGGTCTTTTACCAAAACTATTAACAATGCGACATGATACAAATTACCGGACAAAAGAAAGTATATTCCCCTATTTGAGATTTTATCTATATGTGAAACAAACAAAATATGATCATTCATCGGTGAGGCACTTGATAATGCTTATCTCACACAAGTCACGTGCACGTGACGTCACAAATATTTTGGGGATCGTAATTTACAGTTACCTTGAAATAAGAAGAGGAAGAAACATAAAAAGGATGAATTGTGAATTTTTATGTCTAAACTTTCCTTGCCAGGCAATTTCGAAAGAAAACTGCTGATTAACGAAAACGACATCCACTTATTAATTCCATGTTTTCAAATGTTGCAGTTCACGCATTTGAGTCACAATTCATTAATAATCGATACCCTATAAAACATCAACAATCCTCTAATCACATGACAGGAATGTAATACCGATCTGATACAAGTCAATACAAACAAGGACAATATTGATCGTTTTGTTCACATGTGTGTGAGAGATCGATACTTTCAGGCCAGCTATTGACAGACGGGCACCGACAAATATCTCCTTTAGCCCTACAATACCGTAATGACTACAGTCGATCGTGATCAGCTCTTTTACACGCTAATCAGTATTTAACGGAAGCTTGGGCATGTAATTGATCTGAGCTAATACAGATTGCTTGTTATGGCCAACGGTTTTCGTCTTTTGGATGGATGGCCAACCTAACGTGTGTATTTTTTACACTTGCCAGTGTCCGCTGTCGCGGTGTCTCACACACGGGTAAATATACACATTAAAAATATATTTGTCCAACAGCTCATTACGCGAATCCTGTTGTGTGACATGTAAAAATATTGCGTATGCGTTTAATTGAATGTTTTGTATGTTGAGTTGTTTAATGTGTTGAAAAAGCAGTTGTTTGACTTTTGTCTAGCAGTCTCAATGCAAAGTTTATGTACGTGGAATTAACATCAAAATTATGTAATTGAGTGATGAAATTTGTTTGAGAAAGCTTCAACATCTTAACGTGAAGGTTTTCATAGAAGTAAACCCAGCCTCTGCCACAATCAGATATTAGGGACGACGTATGCAATGTTAAAAAGGAGAAGGTCTCTTTTCCTTTGAACAGGAAATATTGACTTTTCTGAGAAGGACGTTACTTGTAAGCACAATGAAACATTGTTCTGAAAAACGTCAGCATCGTAAAATGACACAATTCCTCTGAATCCAAAGACCAACGAAAGGAAGACTGCGGACATTGAACACAGACCAACGATCGCTTATTACGCGCGGACCTCAGAGAAGACAGTACGCTTTTAAATGTGCTTTTCAGAAAAATAAGCAAACGTAAACAAATATTTTCGCGTTGCATACACAATGACCACCGTTCGAGGTCCAGTTAACAAGGTCAAACAAATAAAGTATTTTTTTCGTAAATCGATAATGTATTCATAGAACAGTCATTAAGACTGGGTGTCGCAAATAAGCTACGCATTAGCCTTGTACATGTGCAGTTTTACAGATATTCAGAGGACAATGTATAGATTGTTGCGTGATGTCAAAATCTTATTTCTCGTGGCTTTGCGGACACACCTTAAATCTGATATGTACATGTGTGTTACAGTTCATAATGTGTGTTAAGGTGTGAACCAGCTCTATATTCATAGGTACTGAAAGCCCATTCCCACTCAATTTATCCATACGTACGTAACTGATCACACGTAAGTGAGTGAGTTTAGTTTTACACGGCACTCAGCAATATTCCAGCTATATGGTGGAGGTTTGTAAATAATCGAGTCTGGACCAGACAATCCAGTGATCAACAGCATCAGCATCGATCTGCGCAATTGGGAACCGATGACATGTGTCAACCAAGTCAGCGAGCCTGACCACCCGATCCCGTTAGTCGCCTCTTACGACAAACATAGTCGCCTTTGTGGCAAGCGTGGGTTGCTGAAGACCAATTCTTCAGACCGGATCTTCACGGGCCTGATCACACGTAAGAGTAAGTGAGTGAGTAAGGTTTTACACCGCTTTTAGTTTAGCAATATTCAAGCAGTTTCACAGCGGGGTACACTAGAAATGGGCTTCAAACACTGTAACCATGTAGGGAATCGAACCTGGGTTTTCGGCGTGAGAAGAGAACGTTTCCACGGCGTGATACTGTACTGTTTCTAAAAGTGGTTTAAAATTTCACACACTCACTCACTTACGTGCTCACTCATCCAGACAAGGAACCGTCTAATATTTGCAATAATATCAACTGTAAGGCACATGCACGCGGGCACTTCACCACAAAATGTGTTTATGTCAACAATCAGAGAAAAGAAAACATACACTTAAAAAAATTGAATTTGACCTTAAAATTACAAACGTCATCAAAACGTCACGTCATCAGTGTTCATCAAGGACACAGTTATGTTCCCGTAACAAATGCATCACTAACAAATAGTTATTTTGTTCGATTCTATTATCACCATCATACTTGGGTCTGTAATATATTTTCCCGATAGTTTATATACTTGGTGTGAATTTTACCATAACGCTAGTATTTCTAGTTGATTTGCAATGAATCGCAAAATTTGTCCTTCAGGAACATCTGTTGCATGTGGCGAAACATCGACATTAACCTACATGTACGTAATTTGTTGTGGTGTCTGCAGTTTCATGGGCGCTAGAGCGTCACAGTAGACGCTGATCGAGGTCGGGGTGCGTTTCAAAATGTATGCGTGAGTGAGCAATATTCAAGCTATATGGCGGCGGTCTGTAAATAATCGAATCTGGACCAGACACTCCAGTGTCAAACTGTATGAAGTGTTCCTCGAGGGTTGTTTTAATGAATATAGCCGATTACCGGCCCGTGCTTGTCCAGGAACAACATCATGTTGTTTTGATTGATACACATACGATCAGTCGATGCCGTTTTAGTTGATTCACATATTACATATTATCGGTTGATGTTGTTTTGGTTGATATACCATGATTTGTCAATGTTGTTTTATAAAATATGCCATGAGCAATTGATGTTGTTTTAGTTGATACACATGTTATCTGTTGATGTTGTTTTGGTTGATATACCATGATTGGGCAATGTTAATTGTTTTATTGAATATACCATGATCGTGCGATGTTGGTTTGGTTGAGTTGATACGCACATAATCGGTTGATGTTGTTTTCAGTAGATATATCTTGATTGGTAAAGAAGTTTTAGAAGATGCATCGCGCTTGGTCAATGTTGTTTTGCTCTACCATGACTGGTCAATGTCAGTCGAGATGTGCCATGAATGTGGACAACTTGGGGGTTGCGGCTCACACAGGGACTGGGTTCGATTCCCTCATAAAATCGTGTCTGGCCGATATAATGAGCATCACGATATAAGATGCAAAAATATAACTTATACAGAGAGAGAAGGGGGGCCGGCGGAGAGAGAGAGAGAGAGAGAGAGAGAGAGAGAGAGAGAGAGAGAGAGAGAGAGAGAGAGAGAGAGACCTCCGGGTATAAATTACGATGATCATTTGGTTCTAAATTGGATATTACTTTCACTGAACGAGAAATTCCTCATCACTGTCAGCTGATATACAGTCAATCTGCAAACACAAGTTTAAACATCAAAGGAAAGTCTTAAGACATCAAACACGCCCATTTATGATCAATACATGCGACAAAGCCTCAACCCTCAAACAAAAGGCCCTCTGGCCGTGGTGACATTCCCTTTACAACAGTGGCGCGGGGCACGGGTTTGTTTGATTCCGACAGTAAATTACCTGTTAATTACAAATACCTCCAGGAATTCCCACCGCGACACCTGATCATGTGGCTATTTTCCCCCTGCAGTTTGTGTCGACAAGCAACATTTAGTGTTTGTGGCAAATATGCGGCGAAACAC